TGAAAGTGATCCTAATCCTGTTTTTTGGTTTTGAACTCCCCAAAATCCAAATCTGATCTGATCAGATAGGGATTAAAAATGTTGAACTCCTGGGCCCAGGTAGGTTGACACGTACGAGGGATTTGACTTGATGTCAAGGTGCATACATAAAAGTTAAACAAAAATGTAAAACAAGTGAAAGTAACAAACGCTGGATTTCACAATCACATTTATAATTGTACTTTATCTTTTCATGTCTGTATAAATGTTTTTGTCTTTTTTTATTAAAATATTTTAGTTTTACTTGCAACAGAGTATTCTTACAGTCATGCATCATTACTCACGATGATATATGAGTCGGACAGGTGGCTGTACATGGACAGGAACGTGGTGATTCTTGTGGCCAGATCTCTCTGTTGTTCTGCAGAAAGGCTTGATGTAAACATCTCCCCATGCTGAGCAGCTGAAGGTAGATTCACTGACATGGGGCTTAAAGGCCAGCTAATGCTAACACAAGTTGTCTTGTTAACCCTGCCTTGTTTTACCAATTAAGAATACGTGTTTCTAAAAAATATTGAGTACTTTAAATCGGCAGTTATAAAGCAAATCCAGAAAAAATAAGGCTTGTTGTGGTTAGCGACTTGATAGCTAGCATTGATGTACAATTCACATGTAGGATGCGTTCAGGTGCGTCCGGTAATTCCTTCAGGCAGGTTGGGCGCTCGAACAGTATCAGAAAAATAAATACTTTATTCATTTTCGGGGGGAATTTAGATTTTCGACAGTTGCTGTACTGTAATGAATTCATTTATTAAGATAAGTTTCAGTAAAAAAAATCGTGTATTATACTACAGTATATAACAACTAATTACATATTCATGTGTGCAGTGCACTGCTAATACCATACAAAGCAAAAGTAATTATTTGTTCCAACTTTCTGTCTGTCCGTGAAGGTAATATGACCCGGATGTTGAACGTTTGTTGTGAGCAGGAAGAATATCTAGGGTTGACAGATTGCTGCAGGTCTGCTTTAACACTTTTAAAGTTATTTTAACCTGTTATTGATGTGTATTGAATCAATATAGAACTGATTATGTTCACATACATTTATTGTTCAATTTTCCGTTGAGAAACAGTTATTTACAGCGACTTAGACACGGAGTTAGCATAGTAACGTTTGTGAGCTAACGTTAAGCTAACGGCTAAAAGGACGTTGTTTATTTTTAAAATAAGAGCTTATTATGAGAAAACTTAGATCAACTCAGAGTCGGGAGGAGTACTCAGGTATTTTACTTGAGTGACAGTAGAAGTACCAGAGTGTAGAAATACTCTTTGATAAGTAAAAGTAGAAGTCCTCAGATATTGTACTGAAGTCAAAATAGAAATACTCAGATCTTGTACTTGAGTGACAGTAGAAGTACTCAGATCTTGTACTTGAGTGACAGTAGAAGTACTCA